CAAATAGTTGTATCTCGGCCAAATATTGTCCCATCCTAACAAACCATACATCAATGGAAAGCTTACTTATTCAACTTTCAGATGATATAGGGTTGGGTATCGATAGGGTTTTTTACGATACAGGTGCCAAATCGATACTTTTAAAATGGTACCAGTGCCTGAACCGATACTTTAAAAAAAGAGCCACACAATAAACAATGGATAACATTAAAGAATATTAAAAATAAATATACATAGCATTCACATGCTCCTCGGATGCTCTCATTTCCCGAGTTGTGCTTCCCTTACTCTAAGGCTAATAAATGTATTTCACGATCTGGGTCATTATTTAATACAAAACCACACATAATGTATCTCTGTCAATCACTCTGATATTTAGTTAAAATGAGTGAATTGACTGAGTGCTGTCTGTCACTGTCTTTAATCAGTTCTGTGAATGACTGTATGTTATGCCACATGCACTGTAATATGTTTTATATTAAATATTAAAATTTTAAATGAAAAAAACAACATTATCGTTTAATAAAGTATGCGTTCATATGTGTTAAGGGCTACATTGTCGCTGGAGGAAACAGCTGTGGTGTGATGAGGGGTGAACGCAGCGAAAACTTTACAGTAGATGGGGAACCGATTGCTCCCTCGTGACCTTTTGTAAACTGCATTTATGACAAAGAACTGCACAGATGCAGATATAACAATCTATCGATAAACACACACCTTGTGTCCTCTGTTTCTGTTCGAGTCCGCCACGGTCTGCGGATTGAAGAGCGTGCTGAAAGACGGGGAGGAGACGAAGTCTGCCGCCGTGTTCATATGAAATTGAAAGGGGACTGACTCTGAGGCGACCACGAATTTGTGTACAGTTTATGGAGCTAATCGCTATAGCCCCGCTAAAAATGTCCTAGTGATGCCCATGCTTCTTACGTCCATTTCGGAGAACCAGAGGACAGATATTTCAATCGATCACTCAGGCATTACGTGGCACCGAAATGAGGCTCCGAAATCTGCGTTCTGATTCGGTTCTAGTACATACCGGTTACATAGGTACCCAAACTTAATGAGAAGTCCTGTCCTTCCCGGGCTTTGTACCAAAGGTCTTCTTCTTGCCCTCTAAGAGGTGTCTGGCTGTTGTCCTGGCATCTTTATCTGATGGCGTTGGACAGTTTGCTTATGTTAGTCCACCAAGATCCAATCAAAATGTAGCAAACCTTTGTCCACTATAGTGGTCAGAGAGGGGCCCCGCCATAAACTGGGCCCTGGAATGTGCTGTCCACTACAGTAATAAAGTGCGTGCGCTCCCTTGCATTACTGCCGTGAACAGTATCGCTCCAGAGACTATAAGCTGAATCACGAACAACTGGTACAGATCCATCCTTGAGTAACAACTATTTGGCAAAGCCTACCTTCTTGCCCCTTATTTACAAAGCAGTCTGGAGTGAGATGTTTGGGTATACATAAATGAATATAGGTATATTTTGGGGCACATTACCTTCAAAAATAAAACGCATCCACTGTGTCCTCAGTGGCTCAGATGTTGGGAGAAGATGAAGACTCTTATTGTTACGAATACGGATGGTCGTGACAACGGGGTGGAGGATCCACTTGCAGGTTTTATTATAATCTTGGTCATACAAGCAGGGTCAATCATCAGCAGACACAACAACAGAGGCAAGGCAAAATCCATAAACAGGCATAAGGTCAGAGCAGGCAGCGAACATTCAATAAACAGTCCACAATAGCAAACAGGAAACTATGGCAATGCAGGGCTGTCAATCAGCGTCTGTGGGCGGAGCCTAAGCAATGTGACATCACACTGCTCAGAAAATCAAAACGGCGTGATGAGACTGCTTGTAGGGTGGTTGTGTTCACACACTGCCAACACACATTTATGTCCAAACAACATGTAAAAGTGCATTTCGCATAATTCCCCTATAAAGGGGAAAGCACTCATTTTTCAATCAGGAAGAATACACAAATTTGTCTGAAGTCTAATACATTAACAGTATAATTTCTATACCTGCTACATAATTACAAGTAGTGAGTTCTTAGTTGTCACTGTAATTAACAAAGTGTTTAATTAGCAATGTACAATGTAATTAACAATGTACTAATTGTAATTAGTTCTCACTTTAGATTGGGTCACAGAAAATGGGAAAATAACATTAGGTGCTTTAAACCAACCATTATTAGATATAAACTGTGCTGTCGATATGAATTACATACAGATACTCCTAAAACCATGTTGTTGAAATACATCAAGGATTAGATGTAGGTTTAGGGGAACGAATATAGTTTGTACAGTATAAAACTCAAAGTCTCTATTAAACATGGAAACCCAATGTGTGTGTGAGTGTGTACTTAATGTATTTATAAACATTTTAAGGAACACCGAATATGAATGCAATTAATGTCTAATAAAGGTTGGGTTTAAAGCACTTAATCTTAATTTTCCAATTTTCCATGACCTGATATAAAGTGAGAATTATTTACTGTTAATAAGTTGTTAAAAAAGCATTGTCTAACTCTTAATATATGAGCAGATTAAACAATAATAATTTGTTTATTACAATGACAATGAATGAAGAACTCGAAATTAATTAACTACAGTAGTTTTCAAATGATTTGTAAGTACTTTATTACACTACAGTTATTATTAAGTGTTACCATAATCCTCATTTGGTTGGGGGAAGTAAACCTTTATGAAATGCTTATGTTTGCAGACTTTAACTGAAAAAGAATTTTATTGAGATTAAAATCATGTCACGTCTGTGTTCTAATGTTCTCTTTGTCGCCCAATAGTTTGAGGAGAAATGGCTATGTAGGGAAGCTTTTCAACACACGGCATGGCTTTCTGTGCCATTTTCCACTTGGCTCATATAACCGGGATGGAAGTTTCTATGCACTGGTTACACAACCATGTATGTGAAGACACTTCACCATGATTCACGGTTCAGTTTCTCTAGTTCCTTTTTCAAGCTTTGATTGGGTGGTGCTGCTGTATTCATCTTTCAAAAGACAGACTGAACCTAAATGCACAGACGGAAAATAGTAGCCAACTCTCGCTAAACATTTATGCAAC